CTGATACTGCTATAGGCATGCATGGGGAGGGGGCAGAAACACTGCAAATGGCAAGCAAGAGTGGTAATGAGGAGCATATGTGTAGGTGCTTGGAGCATCCCAGGTGCTACAGAAGTGCTAAGTGTTATTATCATGGCCAGGAAATTGGCTGTGAAAACCTACTGTACTCCACATTCCCTTATTCTGAGCCTTCTCCAGGATCTGGACCTGACACTCCCCATCAGACTTGGGAAAACAGGAACCAGCCTGGAGGTGCCTTTGGCTGCAGCCATGCTGGGGACACTGTGGTCAGAGGGGCTGTGTGGAAAGGAGAGGAGGAGAGGGAGACCAAGGCTCAACAGGAGCATTGGTTCTGGTCCACCTGTGGCCAAGGTTTTGTGCCCTGTCACAGTGCAATGGTGTCCCCCAACACAGGCAGTTCTGTTGCAGTGTGCAAGAAGGTTTCCCTATCTGAGATTCATTTTGTGGCCACCCTGCCCAAAATAATACCTTTCAAGAGCTTCTGGCCCTGGAGAATCATTCCCCTGGGACAACACTGTGCTCATTTCTGCTCCATCTTGCGTCTCCCTCTAGGATGCTCCTGTGGCACTCGGTTACACAGTCAGGGTTTGGTGGTACTGAGCAGGGCACAGGCTAGTGCTGAGCCCTCCACAATGGCAGGATGCAGCCCACCAACAAGCCAATTTGATTTGGAATGGTCGTGTGAGAGCAGAAATATGAGATCCCCTGCTGAGACCCTCAGCATCCCCATTTCTGGCTATAAACCCCCCTTCCAAGGAGGAGTCTTTAGAGAGCGGGGCTGAGATGACCCACAAGCCACAGCCATCCCCCGCCCCCTCCCCAAGAAGAATTGCTCTCACACAAATGAAATGTGTGTAATTAATGGTCAGGGGGCTGGACAGGTCTGAGATGAAAGCGTTTCCTGGACTTGTCCTTCATTTGCATGGTATCAGAAGCTGTTCAGAAGGTGTGACTTTTCCCACAGGGAGCCCTCAGTTCGGTGGCACAATAAAGCCAGAACTTCTTACCCAGAATTAATTAAAGGAGGGGGAGGGGGATGGCAGGGAAATGTTTGAAAGCTGAGCCTGATGCAATAAACAAACACCCCAGTCATCCTTCCCAAGCTAGAGTATGCCCAAGGGAGGCTGGGCAAGCCCCAGCCCTGCCACAGTATCTCACAGCCCACCCCATTCAGTGGGCATTCGGCAGGCCTCGTGGAAAAGTTGGAAGGGCTGGAAGAAAAGAAGGGCTGGAAGCCAAGACAGCATGTGGCGAAAGGTTTGGGGCTTGGTGGATCAAGCTCTGGTGCAGCTCCTGCTCGGATAGCACAGGCCCCTTTTCTTGCCACTTCAGTTTATTCCTGCCCATCTACTGTTTCTCAGCTATAGAATCTTATAAAGGTTTGGGTTGGAAGGGACCTTAAAGATCATCTAATTCCAACCCCTCTGCTGTGGGCAGGGACACCTTCCATTAGATCAAGTTGTTCAAAGTCCCATCAAACCTGGCCTTGAACACTACCTGGAATGGGGCATTCTACTCCAGACAACCAAAGTAGGACTTAACCTGAAAATAGCTCTTTATCCTGTCTGATGTTGACCTGGTGTGTTCACCTCACATTTACTTCTTACCCCATGTTGTTTGGCTGAACCAGAGAGGCTTCCCAGTGATCTCAAGAGGCAGACTTTCCCAAATGTTGCTCAGCTTCAGCCTTGCCCTGTGTCCAGATGGCACCACGTGGTGAAGCCCTATATGGGGAGAGACATCCATGCACCACTGCCTGGAGCTTGGGAAGGGGCAGTCATCCTTTCACTGACAGTCAGGGCCACAAGGTCCTCTCCTGCTTCATCTGCCATCTCCCTCCAGGTGGAACAGCATCAGGAATGGAAACATACCCTCCACAAGGACTTCGCTAGCTCAGAGCAGGGGTTTTTGCCAGAACACCCACACTAACAGTATTAGTTAACAGAAGTAAACACCCACCTCCAAAGCCTCCCATCCCCAGCACTCTCCTGCATCCAGTCCTACCTCAGCATTCTGCAGTCTCCAGAGTCTTCAGATGGCTGTGATTCCTAAGCTTGATCCACACACCTACTGATGATGAGGGAGGAGGAGGGAAAAGTCCCACATTCCCGGGCTGATGATTGACCCTACATATTCTACCAGCAGACAAGGTTTCTACAACCTGGGAGGAACAACACGTACCACCAGCGACTGTTCCCACCTCCCTGCATGGGTGGTGGGAGCTGCCATCCCTGAGGACCATGTGCTTAGGACCACACAGGGCCCAGGTCTCCAGGAAGAGCATGAGCTCCTCCAGCCATACCGGGGACTAAGTGGTATCAGTGCAGAGACAGGGTATGAGGAACCATTAATTAATTCACTTACTCATTAACTAACTAGTAGTGGTCTCTTTAATCTTTCAAGCAATGGTGGAACAGCCTTCACGAGCTGGAAGCTGAAGCTGGACAAATTCAAGCAATAAACAAAGTCCCAAGCTGTAGCGCTCCCAGGCAGCATGGCTGCCCAAAAACCCTTTAATGAATGGTGGCTAATTAACCACAGACCAAGAGAGCTGGGGAAGCAGGGGCTCCCCTCACTGGAGCCAGCCTAGGTGCCTTCAGTGTGGCAGAGCAGATCACAGGAGTTAGGGGTGGTGTGTGGTACAGAGCTGTGCAGGTTCACAGGGGTGTCCATACCCAGCTCAAATCCCAGGGTGCTGGGTGCTCCCTGCACCAGCTCTTGGCTGCATCCCAGGATGACAGGGTTGGGGGAAAACTGCCTTACTAGAGATTGAGCACCCATGCCCTTCCCTGGCATCACTGGGGGACACATAACAAGGCAGGAGACATGGAGCCTCAGATTCACAAAGCCATTAGGAAAAGCAATTAGACAAACTAATGAAAGAAAAGCACCTATTAAGGACTGTCAAACACCAGTCTCTGCCTGGGGAAAGGCCAGGAGCCACTCACTTTTAGTTCCTTTAGTCTGTAAGCTGCAACATGGGCTTGCCTCAGCTCTGTCATCTTCAGGCTTCTGCAGTACTTGGGTCCCTCCTGAAACAGCTGGACAAATGCAGTCTGTGCTGTCCTGTGGCTCAAGCAACATCCATGGTCTCCGTGATGTGTCAGTGATGCTCAGGTGTAGAGCATGGCCGAGCACTCAGCACCCCCCCAGGTTTCCCTCCTTGAAGTCACTGATGTATATTGCCACCTCAGCTCCGGCTGCTGTGTCAGCCAGGGGAAGGCTCATCCTCACACCCACAGACAAGGCTCAACCTGAGCACCAGCCAGGGCACAGGCAGCCCTGGGGATGGCAACACCACCACCAGCAATGACGAGACTCACCTTGCAAGTTTGTTGCATTTACGGGATTTTAACATATTTCAAAATTTTATTCTTGCTTGTTTCCATATCTGAGACCACTCCATATCTGAATTCCTGTTCAGCTCCTGTAAGCAAGACCCAGCACCTCAGAAGGGTCAAGTATTCACCGAAGGAGGGGATCCAACAGCCCATTTTGCACAGACACCAAGCTCTCCCAGCCCAGAGAGGAGCAAGTACCAGCTTTCTCTCTTGAAAAGCTTCATCCCATGCTTGAAAACATGCTCTGCACATGCTCCAGTGGTCAAGGCTCCATTGCACTATATACCCGTTCAGCCTGCAATGGGCCTTGTTCCCACATGGAAAGGAGGTGGCATCTGTACATTAAACTTGAAATTTGTTGCAAGTAAAACCATGATTTCCACAAGACTCACTGGAGTCCAAGAGCTTGGGGCAGCCTCCCACAGTTCTTCCCTTGGGAAGGAAATTTTGCCAGCTGGCAGTCTCAACCTCATCCTGCACCTCACCGCCACACTCCTTCGCTCCTTTCCAACTTACCTCTCCAGCCCCAACCCCCCACCCTGGAAAGCATCAGGCTCAGTTAGACTAATACAAACTTTTAATGCACATATTAAATAAATATTTCAATCATTTCATATTCAATTTGTACACAACTGAAACGGAACAAAAATCCTAAAGGAAACAGAAAAAACCCAAACAATCAAAAAAGATTGGATGAAAAGTCACCCCTTGTTCTGGCTCCTATCCAGTGTCTTTGTTTGCCCTCCCCGTGAAGAATAATTGCTTTAACCCTTTGGAGAGAGTCACAGTCCCAGGGCAGCATGTGCAGAGCGGGGCTGGCTAGGGATGTTCACTCAAGAGATTTAATGTTTCCTTTGGGGTTGGTTTTCCTTTTTTTTTTCTAAATAGACAATTGGGCTTCTGTCAACGCAGAAATTTTGAAAGAAACCCTCTCCTTTCGTAGACGGACAAGGACATCAGTATTTCTTATCAAAGAGCAAACCTGGAAGAGACAGTTGGCAATGGAAGCACCAACTATTACAACAAAAATATTTAACATTATGACAAAACAGCCCAAAATGGCTCCACAGTAATTTGTAAACTTTTTTTAATTTTATGGATGAAAACTTCTATCTGATAAAAAAATATAGACAGAAAAAAAAATATCAGTTTTTGGTGAGAAGTTCACATTTTCCACATGGGAAAAAAAAATAATACCAGTTACCAGCCTGCTCTATGGCAAGTCATACCTTAGTACTTTAAAACAAACCAAATGCCAAAGATGCTCCTGTGGGTAAGAGGTACCAAGTCAGTTCAGGACTTTCTCTGGGGCATTCATTACCCCTGTCCCCTCCTGAGATAAAAAAGTAAGTGGGGAGTTGTGAAGCCATCAGTGCTCTCAGAAGGATGCAAGTGGCTTCCAGCAACCCCTTGCTCAGCCGGAGAAATAGGCACACCTGAGGAAAGAAAGCATCCATGGTCCTCACCCCAGATGTCAGAGTCAGCTCCCACGGGCAGTGCCCACACAACACCCAGGCTGCAAAAACCACATAG